AAAATCCGTAGTGACAGTTGTCGATCATGCATAAATATAATTAAATTATCTAATTTTTGTCCTAATAACCTGTAGTATTTCGAGGATAAATTGAAAAAAATTAGAGGTCATTTCGAGGAAACTTCATTGTTTTATGTTTCTGATTAATGTCTATGCTTGAATATATCGTGTAGTTACTCATACAATATTTTATTTTTAACTTTAAAGTTGATATATAAAATCTAATCGAAGATTAGGAATTTGTCCTCTGCTCCCTCTTAATAACAAAACATAATTTTAAATTAAGATAGAACATTACAAAAATTAGCAGTTCCAGTCACACTTAAGTTAGGTCATAGTGTTCTTTTACCTTAGAATAATAACGCATCTTTTACCATCTTTTTGAAGAGCTACCTCTCTCCACGCCTCTATCCACATACATCTATAAATTTGAAAACTACCAACATTCAACATTTCTGCATGACCAAACCATTGTAGCATTCCTCTCTCTATCTATTTTACATAAAAATAAACGCATGTACGTAGATTTATTCAGAGGAGATTCATTTCAATTATACGAAATATTGTTGTGAAATATAGTAAATAATTAGAATAATTCAGGAAGATAAAACTAATTTTAGTCGCGCCGATTTTACGCCGGTCTAATTCTACGGCGGCGGCAGGCGTGTCACCAGTAAAGTAAGCGCTAAACTATAATTGTTTTAATACCTGTAAATAGAGACACTGATGACATTTTCCTGTGATTCAGCGTCAGTGACCACGATGCCTTTTGGACTAATGTCCAAGTTCACCCTCTGGAGCTTTTTGTTTAACCCTGCAAACAACAAGTTCGGTTTCACATGGTAAACATGACACACCCTGCCATCACCTTGAAGAAAATTCGACAAATCTAGTAGCTGAACGTTTGCGAAAATTGTAGAACTTTGATCTCAAGGCATCCGTGGTTGTTCACTAAATGATTAACACTAATTAATTCGGTCAAATATATTGGATCTGAGGGGAACTGCCATTGAGGTGTGATGACAAATTGGTGCAATTACGGCTTATATAAAACTTTAAACATACATTTTTTTTCTCCAATTCAGTAGTGCTTAAATCTTCTAAACGTCGTAGATAGATAAGTACCACTAAAGCATTCTAACCAGCTAGCCTAAATCGCGTTAACAAAAATTCTTACGAAAATAATTTTCCTACGTTTACTTAGTCTTTAGAAAGTGTAAATTCGGCGTCTAATCACAGCTTACCTTTAACCGAGTGTAAGGCCGATCGTACAGCAAGAGCTGTAGCGGGAGCGGAAGCGGCTCTCTCGACTGGCGCCACACCGGCGTAACGTACATCGATTTGATTTGTGGGTTCCTTCTCCTCGTGCCACCAGCCCTCCCCTTCCCAGTCAGCCAGCACTAATTCCTCGTTTAGTTCTGCAATTGGAAAAGGTTTATAAAGACGAGTACGGTGCCGGCTCTATCTATGGTGCAGGGTGTGTAGCGCTAGGTCTTAGAGCGGTTACACACAGCTCCAACCGCCTCTCGCGATGCCTCCAAAGAGCCTGCGATCCTCGCAGCGCAAGCGAAGCAAACTGGCTTACCAGCAACATTTAAAATGGTGCAAACCATTTGAAGAGTGCAGGGAAAGATCGATCAAAGTCACCTAAATACATGTTTTGAATTAATACCGTCATCAAGTTCGTTAAACGCTAAGCGCATTTTACCTAAATCAGAAAAAGGCTACTAAGGTTCAAAATCCTGAAAAATTAATTTTTGGTTTTAATTAAGTTAAATAAGATTTGTAAAATGGATTACATAAGGTTACACACATCATGTCAACATTCACTTTATTTCATGTAGCATTTTTGCTTGTCTTTTTCACCAACACTGAACAGTTTTCCAAATTATAAATTCTTTTTTCCTGAAGTTCTCCTCAATTGACTTTGATCATTCTTTCCCTGGACTCTTCACACCCGAGTTTCCGATCATTGAGGAAAATATAACTATAAGTATTCCATTTTGATCGTATGCCTACTAGAGGGCGCCAGGGCGCAGAGTATTGAATAGTTACTACGTAATAGATACATCACTTTCACACAAAATCGAAAATACCTGCGCAATAATCGCCTACTAAATACGAGTATGTCTAATGACACCAGACAGTCGCTCACGAGGTAAAAGGACCCTAAGCATGCGCTCAGAGAGGTGAAAACAGCTTTGCACGCCGTGTGCAACCATGCAGAGCCGAATGTTTATAAATGAAAGACTTGTGTGACCTCTTCGGCGAACTCAGAGGCACTTATCGCATAATCTTGTCAGGGTGTTGATAGCATCCATGCGCTACAAGGGTTAGCGCCGGTGCTGGACAAATACTTGAGAACGAATTAATAACCAGAGACACTCATTTGTATCTACGAAAATAATTACTTTGCAATTTTTATTTCAAACTCAAATCCGAATTCATCACACTACAAAACATAAGTTATGGTAGCCGAAGCGAAACTAATAATAAGGACACAAGAGACAAACTTTACAGTACTTTAAATGAATAAATAATAGCAACGTGATGTGGAAATAAGAAATACATTAACAAATACAAATAGAGTCTTCAGAACATTTACCTAACGCCTACGAGTCAATATCACCATTGGGAACCAACAAATTATGTATTGAGAGGAAATCTCACTTTTATCTGTCAACGAACCACGATACGTGTACTAATTAAACTCCAATTACCTCCTACACGCTTATATTTGTTTGCAATAAATATGTACAGTCAAGAACACGTCAAATTGGACATTGGTATTTGAAGGATTTCTTCGTAAGTGGTTAAAAGTTGTGATGTGTTGTGAAAAAATATTATATTCTATATACCTGTTGTATTTTTATAAGCGTTCAAAATAAAAAGGGAAATTGATGGTGGAATGTGAAAAAAAATTTTTTTTTTTGTAAAATACATTAGTTACTGCTTGGCGGCAGAAATAGGTAAGGTGGCACTACTTCCTTGGACGAAATCTTCCACAAGGAGCTCTACTGCTACTAAACATTTTGCTAAAAACAGCAGATATTTTTTCCACTGTTTCAACGGAAGCCTTAAGGCAAAACTTGTATGTAGTTATAAGAGAAACCACAAAAATCTCACAGACATAAAGGTGACCGTATAAATTACGCTTTGAGTAATGAATTCTCTACATGTAATAAGAAACTAATTTAAAAGAGTGACTATCGCAGATTACGCTACGGCAAAAAAGTGGTCAAAAACCGAAAAGAAAGATCAGCAACAAGCACATAGAAAAATTCATGGGGTCCGCTGATTTGTTCCCTGGCTTGGTTGGCATAGAGTTTCGCACGGTTCGAAGACGTTGGTTCTCATCCAGCCGGATCGAAGTAATTTTTTCTTAGTGTCCGATCTTTGTATTAATAATTATTACAAACTAGTGGCTAATTCTACAAAAATAATATCATGGTGGTCAGATACATTCAATAAACTTAAAAATTACAACTGATTCAAAATAAATATGTTGGATCCCGAGAGCCTATAGTGCAATATCTATGCACTATTGATTCCTACAACCTACACAGACTGACTTCTTCTGTCATAGCGATACCTCCAATGAACATTACGCCAACTTAATGTTTTGTTTTTATTTTGTTTCTTTTTTCTTTTTTTTCACAAAATTTGTCCTTTCTTTTGTTTTTTGTCGAATTTTGTTTTTTGTTTCTTTATTTTTTTGACACAAAATTCGGGGAGCAAAATATTAGTAAATAAATATAACTGTTTACAAAAACAACAGAAAATGACCGAAAAATATAGTTGGTGTGGTGTTCATTATAGGTATCGATAAGTATTTAAAAGTAATAAAGCCAGCTTGTTGCTAAGGCCCCATAGCTGATAATTTTCCTTCATAACTCTGAGGCAATTGCCATTAATCTCATTAGCTTATTACAGACTTGAAACATGAAACTTGTCCACCAGGTTTCGTCACTAATGATTATGGAAATTAAACCTAAGGTGATGTTATCTAGGTTCAAAGTAAATTTATGCCCCTAAAAGGAGCTCTATTACGGAGTGTTTAAAGGATTTCCTTATGCGGGTTAGGTTACGCTTTAACTAATTACATTTTTTAGTAAATTTTGCAACGCAACGTAGTGACATTGTAACGACCACGCCCTTACCTAGATGGCTAGTTACCCCGTTAGATGGTATACTAAAGAGTTCATCCAGGGAAGTACTATCACCTTACCTATTTCTGCCACCAAGCAGTAATGTGAACATTACTGCTTACCGGTTTCGAAGGGTAGCCGTGCTGGTGAAATTACATACACATGGAACTTGTGTCCCAGGGTGTCGGCCGCAGTGGCAGTGGCCCTCAGAATAGATCTGAGTGATAAAAAGTTCTGAGTGGCACTGCACTGCAGCAGGCACTTACCGGCAGATACGTGACTTGCCCGTCACTTAGTATTATAAAAAAAATAGCCCCGATTTTGATTCCTGGTGACCAATTTCTGGAATGAATTTTTGTAAAATGGTCCTTGTCGAGATGTGTTGAATTGTGCTCAGAAGCTAATTTTGCAGCTCTAGTACTCGAGAGTACACCACATAAAAAACCGATTACAAAAGTTTATGGAAATACATCTATTTGCCAAGTTTTACTGAAATCGGTTAACGCAAAATGGGTGAAAGTAAACAAACCGGATTCATCGCCTAATTTACCACCATTAGAGGTGTAATATTTTCTTCAAATTCGAATGGGGCCACTACTGAGGCACCCCCTTTCCAACATAAAAAGAATCATCGAAACCTGTTCACAAATGTCGAAACATACCCACGGGAACATATCCACATACAAAAAAAAAACACTCGTATTAGCGAAACCCTGGGTCGCGGGTGCCATGGACACACATATAGACAATCACAAATTACACCCAAACTCCGAGAGAAATAAATGTAGGCCATACAAATATTTCTCTGGGACCTCTGGGTGGCAGTCCGGCATGGTAACCGTTCAGCCACAGAAGCAGTTATTTACAGTTATAAGCAGTTATTGTTATTGTTATTATATATATAAAATAGGTTCACACGAACAACCTTTCCATAGTATCATAGTTATACAATATACTTAATGTACACTCTGCTCACCGGTACGGTGCAGCAAGCGAATGGTAGAGGGTGAGGACTGAAAAACAGCAATGCTGAGTCCTTAACCATTTTGTCCACATTGCATACTCTTATTTCGTATTGGGCTGATCTTGTTATTACAATTTTATGTGTTATGTGGAGAAATAAATGCCTTTTTATTTTTTATTTTTTATTTTTTATTGTTCATTAAGAACCTACTCTGTTTTTAAGTCAGTTAAAAAAAGAGCACACTAGACCACAATCTCGCGACGATAAGGCCGAAGCGTTTGCCTAAAAATACCAATTTAGTGAATTATACGCATAAGGAAGTTGGAAGCAAAGCTCTGATTAAGGTCATTCGGTATCGGTAAGATCCGTAGACTATATTTCATAGGTTATGTTTCAAAAGATGGAGCCACTTCTGCACAACTGCAGTTTTATTATTTTCAAAATTAGCTGGCTCCTTAACAACGTCCACCATAAAACAACATTTGAGTATCTTATAAACTTTTGTATTCGTGTTTAGTAGAAATAATCTTCACCTGAAAATGTTGGTAGAGCGTATATATAGCCAAAAATATACTACACGTATATGACTAAATTTTTTTAAATTTTTGGCTTTCCGAGATCAGCGTTGGAGTCAATTACCAGATATTATTTAAGTTTATATATAAACAAGGAAACCTTTTCGTATGTTAAGATATTTAAGATACGGATTTAGGAAAAAGAACTGATCGGGAGAAGAATTTGATTATAGGAAATGCGTACAACAGAGAACAAAAGGAAAAGAAAAATTAATTTAATAATAATATATTAATGGTAACGGAACTTATTATACTATTTTTATATTATTTGGTCCAATAAAATTACATAAATATTTGTAAATACGTGAATCATTACATGATAACAGCACCAAAATGGACGTAGGAAGAGGTATTGATAATGGGATAAGGTTTCGGAAAAGTAAGGATTAATCATAAGGCAGTTTGAAAATATGTGGTCCAAAATCTCCAACTTGGCCACATTCGCATAAATGATGTAGTCAATCTATTAAATTTAAGTGTCCAAAACCCTTTTTTCCATCCATTTTCCATCCTATAACGCGAAAACCATAGTTTTACATTTCAGCATGATTATTATTTCTTTGCATAGAGATTTAGCCGCTTTGGCATAAAGCCATACAGCCTATTATTCTCTTGCGGAGATGCTTTGACGATAAGTATGATTTTAATTTTTTTTATAAATTTTGACGCATTTATTTGGGTAGACAAATGTTCCACCATACAACTTCTTCATTGTTAGAATGAGTGATTAA